AGGGAGACACAGAATCTGAAACAGGCTCCAGGCTCTGAGCTGTCAGCACAGAGCCCGACGCGGGGCTCGAACCCATGAACCGTGAGATGATGACCTGAGCTGCAGTTGGACGCTTCACCGACTGAGCCACCCAGGCACCCCTCTCTCTCTCTCTCTCTCTTTTTTTTTTTTAATTTTTTTTTAATGTTTTATTTATTTCTAGGAGAGAGAGAGAGAAGCGTGAGCAGGGAAGGGTCAGAGAGAGAGGGAGTCACAGACTGAAACAGGCTCCAGGCTCTGAGCTGGCAGTCAGCACAGAGCCCGACGCGGGGCTCGAACCCACGAACCGCGAGATCATGACCTAAGCGAAAGTCGGACGCTTAACCGACTGAGCCACCCAGGCGCACCTCTCTCTCTCTTTTTTTAAGTTTACTTATTTATTCTGAGAGAGAGAGAGAGAGGGAGCGCAGAGCAGAGGAGGGGCAGAGAGAGGACAGAAAGGATCCCAAGCAGGCTCCACACTATCAGCGCAGAGCCTCTTGTGGGGCCTGAACTCACAAACAGTGAGATCATGACCTGGGCCGAAATCAAGAGTCAGACGCTTAACTGACTGAGCCACCCAGGTGCCCCTTTCATTTTAAGATTCTCACGTTTTATATTTTTTAACCACCAACTGAAGCTCTTCTGAGTTATTTTCGGTTATTAATCATCTTTCAATTATAAAGGCTTATGCTTTCAGTGCCTTTCAGAGATCAATGCTCTTAGCTAAGTCAAATGATTCAGTGCAGGGAAGCTATCCTTGGCAGAGAAATCATCCCCAACTGCACAAGTTTAATTGCGTTGGTATCTCATTCTTTGAACTACTGGCTCTTTTCTGCTTTGCTTTAATTTTGCCCCTTTTTTCCCCTTTCTCATTGGACTACACCCACCTTCAACAGGAATGTGACTCCTGAATTGGAATTATACAGATCATTCAGGAAAGAGTTCTCTAGATATAGGCTGTGCCAGTGTCACAGCATCATGAGGACCCGCCAGGGACCCATCACCCACGCCTGCAGTTACAATCCCCTACCCCCCGCCACCCCCCACCCCCGTTACAAACTGGTCATTCATCTTGCAGAAGAGTAAAACGGAAGCAGTGTGGGCTGTGCCCACAAAACAGTCTGCAGCGTATTCGCTGCTTCCCATCGTCTGGGGTGTCCCCTTTGACGCTTTTTTCTTTTAAGCTTTTCTTTTTTTTCTTTTAATCTTTTAATATTTATTTACTTTTGAGAGAGAGACAGAGAGACACAGAGTGCAAGTGGGGGAAGGACAGAGAGAGAGGGAGACAGAATCTGAAGCAGCTCCGGGCTCCGAGCTGTCAGCACAGAGCCCGACACGGGGCTCCAACTCAGGAACAGTAAGATCATGAAACCCACTGAGCCACCCAGGCACCCCTCCCCTTTGAAGCTTTATACCTACATGTACTGGGATTCCTCAGCCAGTCAGAGAGAACCTCAAATCTGTGCTTGAGTTTTGGTGGCAGAGTGGGGATTTTAGCTTTAAAATGTTTTACATTTGGGGGGCGTCTGGGTGGCTTAGTCAGTTGAGCATCCGACGTCAGCTCAGGTCATGATCTTGCGGGTCCTGAGTTCGAGCCCCACATCTGGCTCTGTGCTGACAGCTCAGAGCCTGGAGCCTGCTTTGGATTCTGTGTGTGTCTCTCTCTCTGCCCTCCTCCCACTTGCACTCCGCCTCTCTCTCTCTCTCTCTCTCTCTCAAATAAACATTAAAAAAAGTTTTACATCTGGGCGCCTAGGTGGCTCAGTCAGTTAAGTGTCTGACTTCAGCCCAGGTCATGATCTCAGTTTGTGAGTGTGAGTCCCACTTCAAAGCCTGCTTAGGATTCTCTCTCCCTCTCTCTCTACCCCTCCCCCACTCACACACCCTCTCTCCCTCTCTATCTCAAAAATTTAAAAAAATGTTTTACATCTTCTTGTATTTAAATTAATATTCTATTTATTGTGCTTGTAAGTTTTTAAAACTTAGTTTTCTTACAACTTGAATCTCAAGGGGTGCATAGGTGGCTCAGTCAGTTAAGCGTCTGACTCTTGGTTTGGGCTTGGGATTCTCTCTCTGCTCCCGCTGCCCCTCAAAATAAATAAGTAAACTTAAAAAAAAAAAACAGCCTGAATCTCAATGTGCAAGTCATCTTATATTTATAATTTTAATACTTTCTGTGATAAAATTTAACATATTCACTTTCCTTGTTCTTTGATTAATGTTTACTTAGCATTTATTTATTTGGCTTAATTAGCTTTCAAATTATATACTTTAAAGATTCCCTCAGGGAGCCTGGGTGGTTCAGTCAGTTAAGCCTCCGACTTTGGCTCAGGTCATTATCTCTCGGTTTGTGAATTCGAGCCCCGCGTCGGGCTCTGTGCTGACAGCTCAGAGCCTGGAGCCTGCTTTGGATTCTGTGTCTCTCTCTCTCTCACAAAAATAAAATAAACATTAAAAAAATTTTATTAAAAAACTTTTTTAAAAAGATTCCCTCTGGGCGCCTGGGTGGCTCAGTCAGCTGAGCGTCCAACTTCAGTTCAGGTCATGATCTCACGGTTCGTGGGTTCGAGCCCCGCGTCGGGCTCTGTGCTGACTGCCAGCCTGGAGCCTGCTTCAGATTCTGTCCTTCTCCTGCTCATGCTGTCTCTCTCTCTCTCAGAAATAAATAGAAACACTGGAAAATTTTAAAAAATAAAAATAAAAAAAATTCCCTCAACCTTTAACTCTATTTATAATTTTAATTAAAATTTCCTAAATAAAAAAAGGATCAGTATTTCTGATTTTCGCTTCTGCCTCAGGCTCCAATATGGCTCTGCTCAGAGCTGTTACTGATCCTGTCTTTATTTAAAATTTTTATATTTTGTTCATTGTGGATTTTTGCATTAATTTTGATCTTTAAAAATAATCCTTGTTTTTATTTTTTCTTTAAAGATTTTACTTTTTAAGTCATCTCTATACCCAGCATGGAGCTCAAACTCACAACCCCTAGATCAAGGGGCACAGGCTCTAGGGGCGCTTGGGTGGCTCATTGGTTAAGAATCCAACTTCAGGGGCGCCTGGGTGGCTTAGTCGGTTAAGCGTCCGACTTTCGCTTAGGTCATGATCTCGCGGTTCGTGGGTTCTCGCGGTTCGTGGGTTCGAGCCCCGCGTCGTGCTCTATGCTGACTGCCAGCTCAGAGCCTGGAGCCTCTTTCAGTCTGTGACTCCCTCTCTCTCTGACCCTCCCCTGTTCATGCTGTCTCTCTCTCTCTCTCCTAGAAATAAATAAAACATTAAAAAAAATTAAAAAAAAAAAGAATCCAACTTCAGCTGGGGTCGTGATCCCAGTTTGTGGGTTTGCGCCCCACATCAGGCTCTCTGCTGTCAGCATGGAGCCTGCTTCACATCCTCTGTCCCCCCCTCTCTCTGCCCCTCCCCTGCTTGCACTCTCTTCTCTCTCTCAAAAAATAAAATAAATAAGCATTATATGCATAAAAAAAAAGTCACAAGCTCTACTGACTGAGCCAGCCAGGCACACCTAAAAATAACCTTTTAAAACCTTCATCTGGAATACCTAGGTTTAAGTGCCTTCTCCATATGCCTTGCCCCTTCCTACTCCTAGGTACCAGTAACCCCCACTCCCATATGTACCCCAAAAGTCTCCAGACATTGCCCAGTGACGGGGGCCGGGAGGGGAACTGCCGCTGGTTGAGAAGCACTCTGTAATGGTATTAGGTATCACTCCTCTGGCTCACGCTGTACCCTGTACCCGAGTCTCTCTCTCTGGAATTCTGATTCCCTCAACAGTCCACTCTACGCCTCCCTTTCATCCAGATCAACCAGGTTTTGATCACTACAAACTGCTTCACGATCTGGTCCCGGGATTAGAAAAGGTGGATACATTTCTCAGCTGCCGGAAGATGGTATCTGAAGAATGGACAAACCCTTCCTGGTTTCTAAGAAAGAGAATTCGTGGCAGAGTCTACTAATCGCAGAAGCAGTTGAGATGAGATTGTGTGATATCATGTCCCCAATCTGGACAAGAGAGTGTTGCCACAGCCCATTTCCTGACTTCCAAACACAGGTTTTAGAGGTTGTCTCAGAAAATTAATTTGGGTTGCATAACTTTCAACAGTCTGATCTGGATTTAGTTATGTGACTTAAGTCAAATGTTCAGGTTTTCTTTTTTTTTTCAAGTTTACTTATTTATTTGGAGAGAGAGAGGGACGGAGAGTGGGAGCTAGGGAGGCGCAGAGAGAGAAGAGAGAGAATCCCAACCAGGCTCTGCGATGTCATTGTGGAGCCCGACTCCTGGCTTGAGCTCACGAATCTAACCGTGAGATCATGACCTGAGCTGAAAACAAGTCATATGCTTAACAGACTGAGCCATCCAGGTGCCCCAAACGTTCAGGTTTTCCAAGACTTAATTTTCAGAGGCACATCTGTATAATGGGCACGGTGATATTTACTGCACAAAGTATTGCATATGAGAAGGTGACCTAATTTTTAAAATCTTTTCTGGACTTACCACGAGAAAGTGTCCAATGTCAAATGACTCTTCTAAAAAATAAAAAATTTAAAAAGCTATTATTGTGGTTCTGGTCAGTATCAGAGAACTATAACATCATTGTAAAGTACTGCTTAACGCTTACCAGTAGTGTGTGTGTGTGTTGGGTAAGGGTATTCCTAAAATCAGATCACATACCGCTGTCCTGTTAATAATGAATGAAGAGACAGAATGGATTATAAAAAGGAGAACAAGAACCAAACAAAATAAAACCTGAATGTGTCCTTTAGAACATCTATCTTGACATCTGAGCAGCTCAGACACAGCTCTTTTGATCAGAGGTGATTTTTCTTCTGTTACAGCAGATATGTTGACTCTCTTCTGCACAACGTAGCCCTCATCCCACGATGGGTTGTAGTCCTGCTGAGGGGTGTGGCGGGAACAGTTTTCCTTAATTAAAATGTTGCATTAAAATGTTGCATTTTCACCTGACTGTTTTAGTCTGTCTGCTGGCTCCTTCCGGGCCCCGGACAGGCTCCCTGATGAGCATCACGTTCACGTTTCTCCTGGACAGCAGTGACATCTGGTCTCTAGTTACAGAGGTCTCAGGCATGAAGGCGGCTTCACTTTTAAGTTCTCTCTTCTTTAATTTTTTTAATCTTTGTTTTTGAGAGAAAGAGAGGCAGAGCGGAGGCGGGGGAGGAACAGAGAGAGGGAGGGACGCATAGACTCTGAAGCAGGCTCCAGGCTCCAAGCCGTCAGCACAGAGCCTGAAGGGGGGCTTGAACCCACAGACTGTGAGATCATGACCTGAGCAGAAGTCGGACGCTTAACCAACTGAGCCACCCAGGCGCCCCAAGTTCTCCTTTACTTAACAGAAACCTAAATAAAACCCCTTGTTTCTCCACATTATGTGCAACACACCCCAGCTTCCATGTGCCTGGGAGCTGGACTTAGCAGGACTGAAAGTTCCTACCAGGTTTGACATTACATGTAGGAACTCTGCCACTTTCAATCATGAAAAACCCCTGGCATTTGTCTCTTAAATCTTCACAGGAGAAGGTCTGAAGTGCCATTAGCTGTTTGCCACTAAGCTGTACATGTCTCACTGGCACCACCTGCTGTCAGAAAGAGGAACATCACTTCAGCCTTCGTATTTTAAAAGACCTTGGGACAGAGCAGTCAGCGGCATGGGAGTCTTCTGCCTCCTTCTGGGTCTGTTTCATCAGAACCATCCTGGATTCAGGGCTGAGTGAGTAGCATTTATGGCGCAGTGTTTGTTTATATTTTAAGTCCGCAACTGCTGTTATATTCATAGTACTCCAGGGGCCCCTGGGTGGCTCAGTCAGTCAAGCATCCAACTTTGGATCAGGTCATGATCTCGTGGTTTGTGGGTTTAAGCCTTGCGTGGAGGCTCTGTGCTGACAGCTCAGAGCCTGGAGCCTGCTTCAGATTCTGTGTCTCTCTCTCTCTGCCCTTCCCCGCTCATGCTCCCTCTCTCTCAAAAATAAACATTAAAAAAAATAATACTCCAACCTGGTTTTTCCTTTGTGACACTGTTTTACTTAGAGCCGACTAAAAATACATATAGAACTCTTCAGATTTTTTTTCCTTCTTCAGATGTTATTGGTATGTTGTGGTTTTGTAGGAAATTTTTCATTTTTATATGAGATTCATATTTATCAGGGCAAGGGTTTACATAATCTCTTATTTTTTCAGCTTTATTTTATAACTGCCATACAACATCATGTAAGTGTACGATGTGATGGTTTGCTACATTGTATATATTGCAAAATGTTTATGACAATGAGGTTAGTTACATCTTTCACCTCAAATAATTACCATTTCATTGTTGTTGTTGCTATGGTGAGAACATTAAAGATCTACTCTTAGAGCAAGGATTTCAATACAGCAATACTATATTTGAAGGTTACAAAACAGTTTTGTTAACCATACTCACCATGTTGTACGTTAGATCCCTGAACTCATTCATCTTATGACTGAAAATTTGATCCCTTTGACCAACATCTCCCCATTTTTCTCCCCACCCCCAGCCCCTGGCAAACACTCTTCTACTGTTTCTCAGTTTGATTTTTTAGGTTCCACGGATGAGAGCATCCACTATTTGTCTCTCTCTGACTTATTTCATTTGGCATAATGCCCTCAAGGTCCATCTATGTCGTTGTAAATGACAGATTCCCTCCTTTTTTATGGCTGAATATTATAACATTATACACACACACACACACACACACACACACACACACATCACATTTTCGTTATCCATTCATCCATCTGGGGACACTTAGGTTGCTTCCATGAATACTTCTGCAGTGAACATCGGGGTGCAGATCTTTCTTGGAGAGAGTAATTTTGTTTCCTTCAGATATATACCTGCACAAATGCTGCATCATATAGTCATTCTAACAGGTGTGAGGTTCTCTAACATTTTTAGAGCTTTCGAACTAAAAAGGAATGTCGTGTGTTTTCATTCCGAAAATCAGAATGTGTGCCTTATCTTTTTAAAATAAATAAGTCTTTCCAGAGTTTTATACATTTTTTAAAAGATTTTATTTTGGGGGGCACCTGGGTGGCTCAGTTGGTTAGGCATCTGACTTCGGCTCAGGTCATGACCTCTCAGTTCCTGAGTTTGAGCCACAGCTCAGAGCCTGCTTCAGATTCTGTGTCCCCCTCTCTGTTCCTTCCTCGCTTGCACTCTGTCTCAGTCTCTCTCTATCTCTCTCAAAAATAAATAGATTAAAAAATAAAAAATAAATAAAAGATTTTATTTTTCAAGTAATCTCTACAACCAACACAGGGCTCAGACTTACAACTAGAAGATCAAGAGTCAGCATGCTTGACCGTGTGAGCCAGCCAGGTGCCTCCAGAGTTTAATAAGTGTTATTAGTTCTCTTAAAGAACCAATTTTTGACTCTGTTGTTTTTCTTTATTGTGTTGTCTTGCCATTTCATTAATTTCCTTCTGAATTTTTAAATTAATTAATTTTTAATCTTTTTAAATGTTTATTTATTTTTGTGTGTGAGACAGAGCGCAAGTTGGGGAGAGGCAGAGAGAGAGAGGGAGACACAGAATCTGAAGCAGGCTCCAGGCTCTAAGCTGTCAGCACAGAGCCCATCGTGGGGCTGGAACTCATGAGCCATGAGATTAGGACCGGAGTCAAAGTGGTGCCCCAAATTTATTTGTTTATTGTTTTTAATGTTTATTTATTTTTAGAGGGAGAGAGAATGAGCTCAGGTGGAGCTGAGAGAGAGGGAGACATAGAATCCCAAGAAGGCTCTGAGCTGTTAGCACAGAGCCCAACACTGGGCTTGAACCCACAAACCATGAGATCATGACCTGAGTGAAAGTCAGACACCTTTTTTTTAAAGTAATTTCTACAGCCAGCTGGACCTCGAACCTACAACCCCGAGATCAAGAGTCGCATGCTCCAAGGACTGACTCGGTCAGATGCTCCTGCCTTGTTTTTAAATATACTCAACTGGGAAGCAAAAAACCCCCTCCAGAAATGTAATCAGGTTGCGGGGACAATGCTGCCACCTAGTGGCCCCGTGCAGAAGTTCAGTAAACTTGTAGGAGCACCTGAGGGGCTCAGTCGGTTGAGCGCCTGACTCTTGATCCCTCACCCCTACCCCACTCCGTTCAGGTCACCATCTCATGGTTTGTTGGTTCGAGCCTCTGCATTGGGCTCTGTGTTGATGGTATGGAGCCTGCTTTGGATTCTGTCTCTCTTCTCTCTGCCCCTGCCCTACTTGTTCTCTCTCTCAAAATAAATATATATTTTTAAAGTTTTTTAAAAATTTAAAGAAAAAAAATCCTCTCTCCTACCATGTGACCACAGGCGATGGAGAAGCCAAGCGCCTTCCAGGAGGGGGAGTCTGAATAAGAGCTGCCACATCTGAGGAAGGCGAGCAGGTGTGCAGACGACCCACTCCTGACCGGGGCTGGTTGTGGCCAAACCCAGCGATACAAGAGTCTTCAGGGTCTTGAAATTGGAATGAATCCACTGTAAGTCCTTGAATGAGGCTGGCTTGCAGGACAGGTCTGGTGCCAGCAGCGCAGGAACTTAGCCTTAACAGAGGATATTAAAAGCGGCTGCAGTTAAAAGCTCATTCCCGGGTCTTGAAAGCAGATGGGCTGTTGTGGCGAGGCAGAGAGGAGCCACTGCTCGCCCACCCCCCACCTCTCGGTGCCCCCTCGATGCTCTTAGTGGACTGTCCCTGGGGCTCAAAGCACTTACCTTGAAAAAAAAAAAAAAAAGTATTCAAGGCAGGCCAGAGCCACTTGGATACCACGGCTAGAAATAGTGGCACGGAACTATAGTTCTCTTGTGTTGGCTGTAAGAACTGAGACCATCATTATGAGGGACGGCTGGGGCCCTTGGTGATGCTCCACTCAAAGGGAAATCCTTGGACTGGCACAAGTTTTAAAAAAAGTTACTTATTAAAAAACATTTACTCTTAATATATATAAATGATGCTTGCGTGGCCTGATGCATTCTGGGATCATCACGGGAGCCGTAGAGAAATAGCCGATCCTCTGTCAGGTGCATTTGAAACATCTGCTTTGTACCAGCGGCTCCCAATATCAGAGTGCATTGGAATCACCTGGAGCGCTTGCTAAACTGCAGACTGCTGGTTCCGCTCCCACCCCCAGAGTGCTAAGCCCGGGGTGAGGCCTGGGAATTTGCACATCTGACTGGTTCCCAAGGAACTGATGATCTGCTGGTCCCAAGGAATTGATGCTTTTTTGGTCCTGGGACACCTTCAGAACCACTGAGTTGCACCATCCAGTTCTAACCAAAAAAGACGTGTTACAGGGGCACCCGGGTGGCTCCGTCGGTTAAGCATCTGACTCCTGATTTCAGCTCAGATCATGATCTCACGGTTTGTGAGCTCAAGTCCCTCATCAGGCTTTGCCCCGACAGTGTGGAACCTGCTTGGGATTCTGTCTCCCTTTTTCTCTGCCCTTCCCCCTCCCCCTCTCTCAGAAATAAATAAATAAGGGGCGCCTGGGTGGCTCAGTTGGTTGAGCGTCCAACTTTGGCTCAGGTCACGATCTCAGTTCATGGCTTCAAGCCCTGTGTTGGGCCCTGTGCCAACAGCTCAGAGCCTGGAGTCTGCTTCAGATTCTGTGTCCCCCTCTCTCTCTGCCCCTCCCCGCCTCAAGCTCTGTCTCTCTCTGTCTCAAAAATAAATAAATATTTTTTTAAAATCCTCATGTGTTACTAGAGCCATGCATTTTGTGTTCAGTCTAGTCTCTCCCATTACTAAAGCAGAGAATTTTCTCAGGAAACGTGAGGAAATTTCAGCAATGAGTTCTTGAAAGACTTTTTCTCCTTTCCTCATTCAGACCATGGATTGAATTTTCCATCTCCACTGGGGGTAGCCCATGGTCCTCAAACCACCGGAGTGGGCTCTTTATAGAATGGTCTCAAGGGACGCACCTGGCTGGTTTAGGAGAGCAGAGCATGCGACTCTTGATCTCGGGGCTATGAGTTCAAGCCCATGTGGGGCATAGAGACTACTTTTTAAAAAAATGATCTCAGGGGATTCGTGTTTGTACTAATTTGTCAAACAGAAGCTACCAGCATCT